CTCATCGCTTGGTCCCATGGTTTCGCACGTGCCGCATTGCGACAATGTTTTTAGCGGCCGAGGACACGCCGTTGCTCAGGGCATGGCTTATGAACAAGCTGCCTGAAGTGTCCGTCTGCCCCAATTCCCCGTCATTGTTTGTCAAGCTGACCGTTCCCACGTAGATCCGATACGGAAACAGACATTTTGGCAGATTATGTCTTGGCTCTGCTCGCCTCCCAGGAAGGCGACGCTGCGCACATTCGTTCGGCATGCGAAAGCGAGCTGCCGCAGTTCCTAAACACAGGTCAGCCGCGTCGTACCAACGCGTCCCTTGAACAACCCACTAACGAAGCAACAGATGCCGCTCCGGAATTTGTTAACGAGCTGTTCGATGTCATCGAGTACAAGTCCTTCCTCCCCGGCGCGCCACCCCGCCCAAGAGGCGATCGGACCCGAATGTTCCCAGCTCAGTCGCATCCCCAGGCGCCGCGCTGCAAAGCGGCTCGCGGAAACGTTCCTACCATGAGAGGGGCGACGCCAGCACCTCTGGTGAGCGAGAGTCAGGCTTCGGCGACGAGCGCGCATACAAACAGCCGCGTCGAGGACAATGGGACTCGAGGATGCCCGGTCCGAGAGGGCACGGCAGTCCGAACGGCTACCCTATGCAATCGCATGTTCCCGATGGCCTTCAGCAGCCGTCACCCGCGACGGCGCCATATGACCCCAGCTTCCCGCAACCGCCGGCTGGTCCCCAGGACTGGCGCGGACTCCCTCAGATGCCGGCCTACCCACAAGGAGCGCCTTACGGCCCGCCCCATGGCTCGCGACGGAACAGGCAGAAATGCCGTGACTTTGCTACCAAGGGCTACTGTGCTCGGGGAAATTCTTGCCAGTATGATCATGGCATCGAGCCCATCTGGCTGCCGCCTAGCGGACCCAGTGGGCCTCCCAAGTTTGAAGGTTAGTACACGTCTGCCTTTGTTTTGCCTCCCCCCTCCGTAGCATGATGAGAAATCCGTCCGAGCATTTATGCGATGACTTTACAAATTTTATTATAAGGTTGACTACTGAAAGCTACACCTTGGTTTTGTCTTGGAAATATGAAATCGTTATCCAAGGTTGCAGACTAACCAGTCTTCAGATTTCGATCCTCGCGATGCGGCGTTGATGATGTCGCAGAACTTCCAGCAAATGCAACAGCTCATGGAGGCCTTCAACGCTGAACGGAGTGCTCGAGACGGCCGTAAGAACCGCCGGGGTGCTAAGGGTAGACGGCGCAATCATCGAGCCTCGTTCTCTGCGGAGGGTCCTGTCGATGACAAAACCAAAACTACCATTGTCGTCGAGAACATTCCCGAGGAATACTTCTCCGAGGAAGCAGTCCGCAAGTTCTTTTCGGAGTTTGGCAATATTGAGCAGGTCACCATGCAGCCGTATAAGCGGCTTGCGACCGTCAAGTACGACACGTGGGACGCTGCCAATGCTGCCTACCGGTCTCCAAAAGTCATCTTCGACAACCGTTTTGTTAGGGTCTTTTGGTTTGTCGACGAGAGCGAGCAGGCTGCGGCACGCGCCGCAAACGCCTCTGGCGAAGATCAAGAACCCGAGATCGACTTGGAAGAGTTTATGAAGAAGCAAGAAGAGGCTCAGCGACAACATGAAGAGAAGGTACAAAAGAAGGTGGAGCTTGACAAGCAACGCCAAGAGTTGGAGCAGCGTCAGCGAGAATTGCTCGCCCAGCACCGAGAAGTCCAGCAGAAGCTGCAGGCGAAGCTAGCATCCAAGAATGGCGATGCCGAGAACGCTGAGGATGGCTCATTGAACTCTGCGCTCCGTGCGCAGCTCGCCGCTCTTGAAGACGAGGCTAAGCTCCTCGGCCTGGACCCGAGCGCAACTGATGAGCCTACAACCTGGCATGCAAGCACGCGTGGTAGAGGTCGTGGCAGAGGCGGGTTTGCTCCGCGCGGACGTGGCTTCGCGCCTCGAGGCAGGGGGTCCTACCGCGGTGGATACAGAGGCGACGTCCACGCTGCCTATGCTGCATACTCGTTGGACAACCGTCCCAAGACTGTTTCTGTCACGGGCGTGGACTTTACGTCGTCTGAGAAGGACGAGGTGCTTCGGCAGTACCTTCTTGTAAGCCTACCTTCATCCCGCCCTTTTTTTTCTCCTTATTTCCTCAACTCTTTACACTCCCTTTTCAGTATGCTAATCTAAACTAGGGCATCGGCGAATTCACAGATATCCACACCACTCCTTCTGAGACAGAAGTTACCTTCAAAGATCGGAAGACGGCGGAAAAGTTTTTCTATGGTCTTCCGAAGCAAGAGATTCCTGGCATCGACGGTCAACTCGAGCTGTCTTGGGTTTCCAAGCCCCTGCCTCCGACCAAGACGACCGAAAACGTGGTATCGACACGTCAGAGCGCGCCTGACCATGATATGGCCATGGGTAACGCCGCACCTAACGGGTCTTCGGCGACCACTTTAGACCAGCAGCCGGAGCAGCAACCTGAGATGGACTATGATGTCGCGGATGACGATGAATGGGGAGTAGAATAGGGAAGAATCCCCAGTTGCGGGATGCACGTGAGGCAGATGCATATGGCGATCTGGCTCATCTAAGTCCTGTTCATGCACGGGGCGGAGAGCCAGCCGGCTTTATGATTCATGAACATGTTTGTAGTATTACCTGTATACCCTGACAATATTGAGCTGGGCCGGGCGGTGGCATGACAACAAGCCTAGACGACGGCTCGTCGGTGAATGACCGGATCTTGGGCAAGATCCTGTGTTATGATAGAGAACAGAAGGAGGCAAGCAACTGGTTAGAAGAATCGATACCAAGACTTGATACCCCCTATGTTGAGTCCCTACAATGCACCGTACATTGCGCCGCAGTGACCCCGTGCTGCACTACTCAGACGGTGGATATTGAATCAAAATGCTATGAGATACGCGGTTTGAGGTATCGTCCATAAAGCCGCCATTGTCCACGGTTCAGTCGCACTTCCACAAGGTCTAAGCCGGCCCCGCTATCCGTGTGTGCCAGGATGAAATCAAGCGCTCTTTGAGTTCGCCCGGAATCGCTTTAGGGGCGCTTAACAGTGGAAGAGCCTCCAAGCTTTAGTGGTCTGACCATGAGAGATGCCGCAGCGGGGCTGAGAGCAACAAAGAGTTTGAGGCATAGTCTCGATGTCTGTGGTGCTGGGTAGATGTCAAAACCCAAACCTTGCACATCGAGTATCGAACCCTTGGATACAGGACAAGTCTACCACGTGAGTGGCCGCTTTCTTGATGACCAAGCATAACTTTAATTATAGGGTGACGAGAACCCTGCATACGGTATCAACAGACAGATAGAACGGAAAGTCTGGCGTCGTATCAAGATCTTTGCAAGACACTCAAAACATCGCTGGTCGCGGGGGCTGAGATGAGCCTTCTAGGGGGGTTCCTTCAAGCACGCTCGTCAGTTCTACCTGTCCAGACTGCTGAGCACCCAAGCGACAGTGGAAAGACCACGAGCACTCCGAGTCGACGACAGAGAAGGCCAGCACGAATTCCCACGCAAGACTGACACGCCGGCTTCCCGTCGGAACGACACGGCGTAGAGAAGGAGTCGGATGTGGGGCCGATACCGACCAGCCCGGACTCTGGCGCCGAGCGCAGCTCGGGCGCCAAGTTGTTTGTTGCGAATGCAAGCCTGCTGGACAGGTTCCAGGGCGAACCAACTAGGAACAGGATTCGTGGCGAAGCGTTGAGTCAAGGCGTTGATTCGGCTTCAATACCTGCCGTGCGTTTCAGGTCATGGCTCAGCCAGAGACTTTCCAAGCAACTAACAGAGCTTGATTTCCCCTCTCGCTGCCTCCTCGTTTTCGTGCAGAGCCTTTGGGCCGCGTTGTGACACGATGCTTTGTTGCTGCCCAGGCGTGCCAGGCAAAAGTTGTGCACTCGTACTGCATTGAAACTTTTCTCGGTGGCTACAGCGCCTCTTTGTGTTTGTTCGAGTCGGGCATGACAAGTCGTAATGCAGGTCGCAAGCTGCATCAGGCCAGTGGGACACGACCCCAGGCCAAGTGCCAGCGCAGATGAGAGTGGATCTGCGGCGGATTAGTGGCGATTAGGAACCTGTCTTGCTGGATTCCGGTGGATGCATGAGCCAGGGTCGGCATGTCGGTTCAAGGGACACTCATCACCGAGGGCTCAGGGAGGCACGGAGGGTGTTGGGACGTTCGAGTCTGTCTCTCGAGTCTGTCACTCCCTACACTAAGCATGTACAGCAGGGAGATACGATAAGCCACTGTAGTGTACAAGGCGATCCTGGGCTTCCTCCGGGCCCCGCAGCCCCTCTGGGGATTGGTGCCGTTCCTCGCTAAACCGGCAAGTGTGCAGCTGACCAGACTCCCAAGATAGCGTTTGCAGTGGCCAGTGACCGTGACTTTACCAACCAAACAGCAAGTCCAGTCCCCCTCCACGTAACTCGCCTTGGTTCCCAAGGCCGCTGGCGGCTGGTCCGACGAACGACAAGCTTCAAGTCCTTAATTACCCGGCCCTACCTGCATGCATGTCACCATCGCTTGTCGCTGTGAAGACTGACCGCAACTCTCCAACCCCTCCTGGTGCCAGCGCCGTCTCCCTGTTGTCGTTTGTATCGCATTTCTTCATTTCGGATAGCCCATTTCTCGATACACTACTGGCGCCAGTGAACCACCGGTACCCTTGCTTGACTCAGAACCCAAGTCAGGGACAGGGAGCGAAATCGGGGGTGTCGGGGCGAAGCGGTGCGCATATGACGTCCTACCGCCAGACCCGTTTGTTAAAGAATAATTAACCTGGTGACTAACACGACGAAACCACCTGACAAAGACACCACCACCAACCACACAAACTCACCCACAACCGGAGCAAAGAGACGACAGGAGGCATGGTCGATTTCTCCTTGACCACCGCCAAAATTGCGAACTCGACACCAGATCTGAGCCGCAGCCGCGCTGTGGTTCAGACCTTGCCGACCAAACCATGCCCATCTTCCAGGACGATCTCGAACACCCGCCGCCCGCCGCTGATTGCCCGGGTGCGACCGAGCCGGCCTCCTTTCACCAGCAAACCACCATGCCGTCCTTGGCGAGGAAGCTCTCCGAAGAGAGCATTCGGACGGAGCTTTGCGAGGGACCCATTCTGGAAAGCCCGAGACCGTCGACCCCGGAGAGCGACTCCGCCGCAGTCACGTCGGATCGAGCCGAGTTGATTGAGCGACTGAAGCGTGGGGAGAGCCCGACTTGGGTCCCGAACCGCCATGTAGGATCACCTAGAAACGCCAAAGACGCCCCGTTTGCTCACAACATCACCCAGCTTGAGTCGCTGTTCAACAACCTGCCCCGTCCAACCACGCCGCGAAACTCGCGCCCGCTATCGAGCTCATCCAACCTACTACCCCCGGCGAGCATCACTCCAGAGAAGGCGGATGGGCCACAAGAGGATGATGAGAGGCTACGCGAAGGATTAAGAATACAAAGGCCAAGGTCTGCCCTGCACAGCGGCGACTTCACCGAGGACCAACCGCGAGGAAAGCAACAAGGGGCGCAAGAGGAGCTGGAAGAGAGCAACCACAGGCACACCGAGTGCTTGGCGTCTCGCAACTCGTGGATCGCAACGTCGCCCCCGCGAGACTTTTCGGCGTTTCGGTTAGAGGGGAGAATACCGTTCCCGGCCGCGCATGACGACTACAGATCTGTGCCATCGTCTTTGTCCTCGTCATTCTCGTCTAGTTTCGTATACAAGCCGCCAACGAGCCCGCTGGTCCAATCCGAGAGCAATGACGACGTTGACCTGTCGGCACCGCTACACAGCATCAATATCACAGCGAGTCCCCTGAACGTGAATTCGCGCCGGCACACGCTGAACTCGGCCGTGGGTTCGCCGTTTGCTGTTCCGTCGCCGAGTTACCCTGCACTTCACAGGCAAACCTTGCAACGAGGGGCAGTGCTGCCGTATCAAGCACACCAACCACGGCGGTCTCTTACGTCTGCCTCCCAGGTGATACTCGCCGGGACCTCGCCGCAAACGCCCGCATTTCTGAGACCCAGGCGACCTTCCTTCAACGCAGATACTTCCCCCTTGCAGCATGCGTCCATGGTCGGGTCCTACGAAGAGAGCATCCTTCGAGGCCGAATGTCGACGACGCCGTCGAAACCGCTCGATTTTCTTGCTCAGATTGGTGTGCTGGGTCTAGGGAAATGCAAGTCTAGTTTAAGGTGTCCGCCCCACGTTACGTTGCCCTTTCCCGCTGTATTCTACAGCTACGGAGGAACATCACAAGGTCGCGTACGATCAGAAGACGGGCCGAGTCCGTACGTTGGGCAAATTGACCTGGAAAACGGTCTGCCGAACCCCGAAGACGGGCAGCGTTCGAAGAGGAAGATGCAGACCAGGGTCGCTGATCGAAGGATCGTCGAAGACAATGTGACTATGAGCGACGGCCCTGCAATGGCGGACGGTTCGGATCGCGAGGCACGCCGAGCGCAGCGTGCGAGGCGCAGGTCAGGGTCACCGAGAGCGCCGCCGGGTGGAAGTTATCGGATACCCGAAAAGGGCCAGATCCAGATTGTGATCAAGAACCCGAACAAGACGGCCGTGAAGCTGTTTCTGGTCCCATATGATCTTGCTGGCATGGAACCCGGGACGAAGACCTTTATCCGACAACGGAGCTACTCAGCTGGTCCCATCATTGAGAACGCGCCTGGGCTTGAGGAGGCTGTGGGTTCGGATCGACCGATCTTGCGTTATCTCGTGCATCTGCACATTTGCTGCCCCGCCAAAGGGCGATACTATCTCTACAAGAGCATTCGCATCGTTTTCGCCAACCGGGTTCCCGACGGCAAGGAGAAGCTGCGCAACGAGACTACGTGCCCCGAGCCTCGGTACACGCCGTACAAGCCCATCCGAGTGATGCACCCGCCGCTATCCAACAGCAGCGGCCCCGCGGCAACGCTTGCGGCCGAGAAGGCCTTCAGGAGGCGCAGCGCGGGCTTTTCGTTAGGCCAGTCTATTTACGGGCTCGACGGACCGGACGGGCTCTCGCAGTCCCCGCAAGCGACGGGACAGAAGTCGTCGCCGTCTCCTTTCAGTTTCGGCGACAACACTCAGCCGGTCGAGGCCATTCCGTTCGCTCTCTCAGGGCGGCCTCGTCTCGGGAGCGACATCAGCGACAGCACCAACACTACGACCACCACTCCGGGAATCCTCTCGCCGCAGTACTCACAAGCAAGCAGGCCGACGACCAAGGACGGCTGGGAGGCTCACATCGCTCGATACGAAAAGCTGAACAAGGGCGACGTTGGGTACGGCGGCAACGCGTTTGTCCCATCTGGGCGCGGAAGCCCAGGAGGCACGGAAGGTTTACTTTCTCAGCGGCTTCGGTCCCTCGGAGTACAGAACCAGGGCGAGCTGCCTTCGGACAGTCGGGAGAGTCCGGAGTAAGTCACATATTGTACATACCGCATCACTACGTATTTACCACTCTGGGTTATATGGGCTTGGGACTACGGATTGGAGTTTGTCATACGGAGGGTATCATAGACGGCGTTTGAGTTTATGGTTGTGTGCTAGGACGGCACCATCTACGGGAAATATAAAACGTAATTACTCATCCTGGCTTCCCAGGCATCTTACCATGTGTGGCTAAGTAGGACCCTATGAACGCTCCCCGAGCTCACGGCGTGACGAAGACTGGACGCCAGATGCCTCCCCGAGCCTTGTTCATCGTCTGGCTCTCGCTGGGATCCGACGGGGTCTCTCAGCTCTCCGCCGCCCGAGTGCGAGGTCGACCACAGGCACTCGGCGGCACGTACCCTGCAAGGACACGGACGGCGCGCCTAGGAAGCGGGCCGAAGACGCACATTCGGCACTGTTAGGTGAGTCCAGACTGGCAACGTCAGACTGTCTGTTGACCAGATGCAACGTAGATCGATCACCCAGACAGATAAACGGCTGCATCGAGAAGAATCAACTCCTGCGTCCCCAGACATCGGGCCAGGAGGAGTGGTTCCGAGCAGTGCGCCCCCGATCCTCCCCGCAACCGAGGCTTTTTGCTAATTACCTCGATGACGAAGGAGCTGCCAGTCCAACGTAACTCGTGTCCAAGCACGACTCTTGCGCTGTCATTGGGCTTTAAATCGATCCGTTGTCGATATCAGACGGTTTCACTCCGGCACGTCCTCGCCGTCGCCCGCAGCGGGCTGAAACGCCTTCGCCTTCGGCTGTATGATGCAGAGCGTGCGGCTTCTGGCCATCTTCCCGATGATTCCCCTCGTGGATGTCTCTGAGCGCAAGCCGGGCTGCGTCATTCGTGGACGGATGAGGGGACCGCCAAATACGCAATGGCCGGCGTGGGATACTTGGCTTTGCAGGTTCTTCAGCCCATGTGGTTGTGACGCATCTTCCCACCCACGTCTCGCGGCCACGTCCAAGCTTTGAAATACCCTGGACACCCCCTTTCCACTTCTGATTTCTTTAACTGTGTTGAGATAATCTTGGCCGATCAGGATCTTGCTCACCCTGCGGCTCTGCGGATCTTGTCCGACCCCTTGGCGACCATCCCACCCAGTAATCCGAACGAAATATAACACCCCCCCATTCTTGCAACAACGTCATTGGCAACAACAGGGGCCCGATGAGGCGGTCTCTAGTCCTCCTGTCGGCGGCGCTGCTGTGCCAGCAGACGACGGCGTTGACCGTACCAAAGCCCCGTGACCGGGACTTGTCGAGTCTGCTCTCCGGCAAACTCGACATCCTCGACCGTTTCTCCAGCCTGGTGGTGGACAAGGTCGTCAGCACTACGATCCTCGTTGTGAGGGCGCTGAAGGAGACTGTCGACGAGAATGGAATCACCCAAAACGACCTGGACAACATGCTGGGGGTCAACAGCACCACCGGCCTGCCCGTAAGGAACTCGACGTCGGCCGTGACGTGTCCGGATGTTGCCGTCATCTTTGCGAGGGGAACGAATGAACCTGGTATGTCTTGAGATGATGAAGGGGGGCTCGTTAACAAATGCAACCGGCTGACATCCATCAGGGAACGTGGGCTTCCTCACGGGCCCGCCCTTCTTCGACGCCCTTAGAACGTACATGAACGGCACCGGCACCATCTCCATCCAAGGTGTCAATCAGTACCCCGCGGACCCGCCGGGCTTCTTCGCGGGCGGCTCGATGACGGGCGCCACCTCGGGCGCGCAGGTGGCCTCCCGCACGCTAACCATGTGCCCCAACACGCGTCTCACCGTGTCGGGCTACTCGCAGGGCTCGCAGGTGGCCCGCCTCGCCATCTCGCAGCTGCCGCCCGACCAGCAGGCCCGCATCTCGAGCGTGGTGCTCTTCGGCGACCCCCTCGGCGGCGCGGCCGTCCCCGGCGTCGACGGCTCGCGGCTGCTCGTCGTCTGCCACGCCGGCGACAACATCTGCGAGGGCGGCGACTTCATCTTCTCGTCGCACCTCGACTACAGCACCGACGCGCCGACGGCCGCGCTGTTCGTAATGCAGAGGAGCAACCTCGGCCTCGCGAGCCGCGACGCGCAGAACGAGGGCATGCGCGGCACCATGGTTGGCAAGGTGCAGGGGATCATGCAGTCTCGCAAGGACGGTATAGCGAGCGATTAGACGGGGTTTTGCGAGACATATTTCAATTCTTTCTTCCCGTCATGTTTGTTCAGCCACGAAGCGCGCATTGTTTGAGAGGGAAAAAGTGGTATTATGTTAGATTCGAAAGCGGAGCGAGCTAGGAAGGAAAAAGCTGTATTGTTACACCCTTTTTTTGCGTGGAAAGGAGAAGAAATGCAATAAAAACAATCAAGTCACTCTATAACATCGTCGCTTGATAATGCCCAGCCACCCCTTTCTACCGCAACAAGTGCCCATGTCTAAGTCTTGTACAAGATATCGCTGTTCATACACACTGGCCGTCTCACTTTGGTTCCCCTTGCGTCTCCGGGAACGAAGCCGGCTCGCTAGCCGTGGTCTCGGCGTCTTCCTCAAGCGCAGACGACGACGAGTCTTGCTGCTGCTGCTGCTGCTTCTTCGAGGAAGCCAGCTCGCCAGTCGGCTTTTTCTCTATAATCTCTTTTGCTGAAGAGATTGGTTCTTGTTGCTGCACCTGCGATTCCTTCCCCGTCACCGATGCAACATCTACCTGCGAATCTTCCTTCACCGGGGGTTTCCTACTTTGCCGCCAACGTGGGCTTCCGCTGGCCCGACGGTTCTTGCAGCCTCGTCCGAGGCGCTGGAGACGAGGCCTGCTGTCGACCGAAAACCTCCTTCTCGATGCCGATGCCAGAGTATGGCAGGCTTCGAAGCGCCTTCACGACACGAGGGCACTGCTCCTGGAGAATGCGGGCCGTCTCCGCAGCGGCAGACGACCACGGCGCCATCCCTTCCAGATCGCTGTACTCCCTGGCAAGAACGGTGAGGGTGTACGATGTTGGCCGCAGCCACTGCGGCGCCCTGCCTATGCGCCGTTCCCCCAGGGGAATATTCATCTTGAGGCCGCCCTTGATTCGGTTGACCTGCCATCCCGTCCAGTTCGGCATAAGGTGCTGTTCGCAGAGCTTGCAGGCTTCCAGCCAGTAGTCCATCTGGGCAAGTGCTTGACAGGCGTGGTTCATGGCGCGGTTGTCGAGAAGAAAGCCTGCATCCAGAAGCCGGTCAAGGTTTGCCTTGAGGCTCTTGGAGTCCCGCAGCTCCGTGAACATCTCTTGCAGAGCCCCAAACGATCTGGACAGGGAGTAGCGATACCGTGGCAATACAGCACTCGGACCATGGCCCGGGTAGGATGCTGGCCTGGCGAGTGCTAGACTTTTTTGCCAAATGAGCTCCCAAGTCTTCTTGGCGGCGTCGTACTTCTTCTCATGTACGTTCTCCTGCAGGAGCGATTGCAGCATCTCGACCGACAGATCCTTGAGGGCTGGCATGACGCCTTCTTGGCTCAGGCTCTCCTGCAGCTTCCGGAGCTCTCTGGCCGACTCGTAATCGCGGTATCGAGTGAAAAGGGCGATGGCTTTGATCAGAAGTTGTCGCAAGCGATACAGTGCATCTGCGCGTTTCAATGGATGCTGGGTGTCGTTGCCGGGACCCGCGTCCATCTGTGTATCTGTCTTTAAATCTTCAACCATCTGCCGTATGTACTTCATCAAATCCTCTGCCGCATCGACTTGCCCCGGCTTCTGACGGCTGCCAAATAGTTGCTGTTTGAACAAGGCACGGGTCTGCGCAAGGCGGGCATCAATCGAAAGCGGTAGTCCAGCGTGGATTCGCAGTTTATCAAACCTGTTCGCCCATCTCAACTGGCGCAACCGCAGACCGCCCTCCATAACAGTGACCAAGTGCTCTGGGTCAAGAGCGAACGATTTGTGCCGGACAGTTTTATGCAGCACCTTGTATGCGGGGTGAGCTTGCTTGCAATCCACCAACGCTTTCAACAACACTTTATGGGTTTCGGGCGTCCAGGGTATGTCGTGTTGGGACATAAGAGCAACGACCTCACAGACCTCGTCAAAATCCCGGCGGTCCGAATGGCGACGCAGCAAGGTGTTCCAGAGCTCAGCTTGGTTGCCGGGGACATTTGTGTTTTTGGCCTCTATGCAAGTTGCCAGAGCCTCTCGGAACCGCCCGTTATAACAGTAGGCCCTGACAACGGCCTGCAGAATAGGTACGTCGGTTCTGACCTGTCTTGACCGAGCTTGTTGGAGAAGATCGAGAGTAAATTCAAGGTCACCCTTCGATGCCGCCAGCGACATCATGGTCGCGAACGTCACCGCATTGGGCTCAGTGGCTCCGCAGAGCTCCTCGAAGACCACTTTGGCGCGGTCATACGTTGCCTGCTGCAGACAGCTCTTGAGAAGCTGGTTCCAGCTATCCGTACCCACTTTCATTCGGTGCTTGTATCTCATCTCATCAAACACTCGTCGAGCGTTGTCGTAATCTCCTAGATTTGCGTATGCGTTGATCATGTTGTTAAAGAGTACAACGGCGTCAGTTTTCCAGGTACGAATATAGGTGTCAGATAGGCGCTCGAGAGACTTGGTATCGCCGCGTGACGCGTAGAATGAGAGGTACTTCTTGAAGGCCGGTCGATCTAGCTTCCCACGGTCTGATCTGTGAAAGTCCTCGTATACTTGCTCGAGGCCCACCACGTCATCGGGGTAAAAGACATCGAACATGCCATGCAGGATTCCGTGAGGCATCGTCGTGTTGGGCAAGTCCCGGTAGACGCGGTATATTTCAGGCAAGCACTCTCGCTGACCCCGTGCCAAGGCTTCGCGGATGTAGGTGACGTACATTTTCGCCGAGTCGATGATCCTGAGTAGTGGCAGGGCCTCCTCTGGTTTGCAAGGATGCCGAAGCGCGGCTTGAGCTGCTTGCTTGAGAAGTACACTGAGGCTTTGCGCCACATCTTCGTCCATTCGTTCCGTCCTTATAAAGCGTGAGAATTGGAGAACAAGCTTCCCGATATTAGAAACAGAGGACAACGCTCCCACCCGCACTAGATCGGCGTCGCGATACGCATCGCTTGCGTGGTAGGATACCCAGACGTTTTTGACTCTCTTCCAATCAGCCTTTTTGAAGGCGTATTGGAGCAGCTCGTCCAGCCCGCCGACCATGCCCTTTGCGTCCAGTCCTTGGTTATATAGCGCAAGTGCTTCTGTCTCGCGTCCAAGGCACAGATGCGCCGCAACCGCCGATGTTAGAATTTCTGGCGTCCATTGGCTAGCGTCCATCTCAGAGAACAAGAGCGAAACCCTGCGGGCGTCAATGACATTTGTAGACCGATACAGGTACACAATGACTTCTGGGCGAAGCTCCGGCTGCAAACTCGGTTCCAGTTGCGAGTAAAGCTGCCATATCGAACCGAAATACTCCGTGTCTTTCTCTGCCATCAGCTTCCTCATTAAATCTGGCCGCGATCCTGCTCCAGCATACGAGGGGCCGCTGTGGGTATCGTGCGAATTCGTGACCGCATCCTCATCTTCTTCCTCGTCCTCAAACTCTTTTTCCTCTGCCGGGTCGATTTCTTCATAGCCAGATGGCTGGCGCTCTTCTATGACAGATGAGCCTGCGGTCTGGCCGTATCGTATCGGTCGGGAGTCGTTACTTTGTGACGGGCTCGCAACAGTGGACGAGGTGAAGGGCCTGGACCGGCGAGGAAGTCGGCGAATAGACGCTTGATGATGATCGGGCAGACCCGGAGCAAGCTTGCGCAAGAATGCGGCTGTCCCACTGGGATAGAGGAAGTCGAGGAGGAAAGTGGATGCGGCGAGGGTTTCGGGTGGTCGTGTGATCGATTCGGGGACGGACAAGCTGGCGCTATTGGGCTGCATGGCCAGCTCCGTGCTGGAGATGTCTATGGCGGCGGCACCATGCTGCCAGAAGCCGGTGTGCAGTTTGCGCCGGCTTCTGAGTGATCGTGAGGCGGATGGAAGAGCATGAAAGCTGGTGCATGATTCCAGGGTCGCCGCTGTTCTCTCAAGCATTGGGATTGAGACTGTCACCAACGCGATACCTGTCGACTATGTATGGCGGACATCAAAAGGACTCGGGGACATGCTGGTCTGGATGTCGTCGGCGCCAGTCTTTGGTATTGTCGGGTCGAACAACTCGGGAAAAGTTTTGGGTGGAGTCTCTCTGCGTACGAAATCGAAGACGTCGATGACGGGAGGCGTTTGCCCGAGCTAATCCGGCCACCTTACCGAGGCGGTCACACGACAAATTTAGTGGCAATCAGCGTAAAAAGTTCACCAAGACACATCTGTCAAAGAGCGGGTTGTGAAATCTGCAAGAAGCACAGACAAAGGGACAGCCGACGAGCGTGAAAGATCGAGTCCATCTCCAAGGTATCAGTCCATAATCCACCCGCCGTCATGTACTTTTTTGGGGAGCTTCGGCCAATCACTAGGGGCAGAGGAATATCTTCGGTCCGAGTTCCCAACTACCTACCTACCCAGATCCTTAAACATGGCTCTGCAAAGTGCCAGTGGGGGGTGCCATTAGTACTGTCTCCCACCACACCTCTAAATTTTGACAATCCCACAGTCAGTTGCGCCTGGAAAGGACACTGGGAACCTTAGGTGCGAGCCCCACCATCCCCCGCCGCGCAGCAGCAGAGGTCGATTCGACATCATCTGGTCTGTCGCGAAGTCTACTCCCACCGACGACCTGCTTGCGACGACCGAATTGATCGAATTCGACGCCGCCACAATCATGGACATCACCAAGTTGGTCGTCTCCGGCCGGGACGCGGCGCTGCTTTACGGAGACTACGCAACATACCAGAACCAGTTGGCCAAGAAGCTTCTCAACAGTCGCAAGAAATTAGGCATCGCCACGAGAAACCGCGGCAAGTTCAGCAAGAAGGGCGAGATCACTGCTGCGCAGATTGCGGAGAACCATGAGTATGTTGCACCGTACGGGAGCCTGTCCGCTTTTTTTGCTGATATCGCCCAGGTACATCCATCTGTTGCTGCTCACGAGCGAGCGCGCCTGGGCCAATGCCATGGCAATCAAGTCGTCGCACGCCTCAGATGTAAAGGGCGTAACTGGCAAGACCAGGTCACACATCGTATCTCGACTCGAAAAGGCCGCAAAGACTGCCGAACAACTCGTCGAACTCCTCTCGCAGTCGGAGGCTGGTGCCACACAGAACGACAAGCTCGAGTCCCGCGCTTACGCAGCCCAGATCCGTGGTGCTGCCCAGTTCGAGAACCAGCACTGGGAGCCTTCTCTGAGGAGCTATGCCGTTTCACGTATCATCTACAACGCCATGGCCACCTCCACCAAGGGCGACATCTTCAAGGACCTCCTTTCCGATACCATTGACCCTTCGATCCGCTATGCCGCCTATCAGCTCAAGACACCGCGTACGATACCCATTCCTGCGATTGCCAGACGCGCATTTCCTCAGTCCGACACTGCACTGGTGCAGCAGATCAACGAGCTCGACCCCAATCTGTTGAAGCAGGCGCAGGCAGAGGCCACCAAGGAGGGCGAGGGTGCTGAGAATGCCCCCAGGACCCTCACGTGGCGCTCGCGTGAGGTCAAGATCGAAGATGCTGCCATCTCCTTGGCTTGGGGCAGAGTGGAAGAGGCAAAGGCGAAACTGTCTGACCGATGGCCGTCTCTTATCAATGCCGAGCCCAGGGACGTGGCTGCCTCGTATGATGAGATTCTCGAGGCGACACAGGATGCCGCCGACGCCACTAAGGAAGCCATTGACGAGTTGCGGGGTGAGGGTGTTTCCCAGAGCGATTCCCGCATGCAGAGCTTGCAGGTCACTCGAACTGCCGTCAACTACGAGATGATCAGCTGGCGTATCGGCCGAAACCGCGTGTTGACGGGCAGCGACGACGGCCTGGCCGAGAACTACAGTTCATCGCGCAAGAAGTCCAAGAAGGGGGAGACCGCAAAGAAATCCAAGGAAGAGACACCTGGCCGCAAAGCAGCCAAACTGAAGGAGCTAGTCGCCCTTTATGAAGGAACCCTGCAAAGTCTTGAGGCTGCGCGGGAATTGCCTGGCGTGGCCAACGACGAGGACCTTGCCGAGCAGCTTGAGTCGACCGCAGAGTACTTCCAGGCCCTGAAGTGAGTCGTCCGCCTTTGACTGTTGTGTCGTGCTAACAGACGTAGGTCTCTCTCCATCGCCCGCTCCCATGCCATCATTGGCAACACGGTCAACGCCTTGGCTCTCATCAAGCACGCCACCAGCGAAGCCCAAGAGGCGGCCTCGACCCTCGGCGATGGCCCTCAACCCGAAGTCAACTCTCCCCGTAGCATCGAAGTCTCTAGCAAGGACGCCAAATCCTTGTCGAACTTCCTCCAGGGCGAGCTTCAGCGTTACCGCGCACTCGTCCACCTGTCGAATCTGCTGAAGGAGTCGGACTCGAGCGAAGATGACATCAAGAACATTCCTCTGATCGAGCGACTGCGCGAGTATCCCTCGGGAGGCATCGACCTCGCGAACCTCGTCAACATTCCACCCAAGCTGTCCACCATTCCTGTCAAGCCGATTTTCCTTGATGTTGCCTGGAACTACATCGACTACCCCGGCAAGGAGCCGCAGGGAGTCGAGCCGCCCAGCAAGCACCAGCAGGCTACCGAGAGCGAGGCCAAGCCGCCGCAACCGCAGAAGAAGGGATGGTTTGGTTTTGGTAGATAAAAGCAATACAAACCATAGCCGCTGGCTACTTCGTTACCTACTTGACATAGAAAAATTTATACTCTCAACGTGTTGACGTACGACATGGTTGTCACATTGAAGAACTGACATTGAAATGTTGTTTTGAGAGGGGATGTAGAATTATCACATCTAGCTACTCCAGATTCGGTTTGGTTTTGTACATATGCAACCCCGTCTTATCCCCTTGATCCATACCATCGATCATATCATGAATACCGAAGAGGTATCTCGTGTGAATGTTTTGATGCTCCAACGCCGGTACCGCCGACCGCAGGTATTAACAAACATTTGTAAAAGGGGTAACAAGGAAGAGAGAGGGTCGGATTCGACCGGAATATGAGTACACTTGGAATACAAACATGAGGGAAGCAAGTCTATGCCCGCCCAAACTAATCAAACATGCTAGCAAGCCATCAACGGCTTGCGGGTGGTGGAAGGACGAACTAGGAAACGAGAGAGCATTTAAGGCTTCTTCTCGCCGTCCTTGTTCTCAGAGGCGTTGGCATCCTGAGCGGGCTGCTCACCGGACTCAGCACGGGCCTTGTGCATCTTGTCGAAGAGGTTCAGGCTGGCAACCTGGAGCTCGTCGGTCTTCTCCTTGATCTCGGCAGCGGTGGCGTTGCCCTCGCCAGCCAAGCTCTTGGAGACGTACTCGCGGAGAGAGGCAATCTTCTCACGGATGCCGTCAGCCTCAGTCTTGTCGAGCTTGTCGGCATACTCGTTCAGAGCGCGCTCAGTGTCGTTCAGGACGCTGTCGGCACGGTTGGCAGCCTCAATGGCACCCTTGCGCTCCTTGTCGGTCTCGGCGTACTTCTCAGAGTCCTCAACCATCTGTTGGATCTCAGAGTCAGACAGACCAGAGCCAGAAGCAATGGTGATGGACTGGTCCTTGTTGGTGGACTTGTCCTTGGCGTGGACGTGGACAATCGAATCGGCGTCGATGTCGAAGGTGACCTCAATCTGAGGAACACCACGGTGGGCAGGGGGGATGCCGACCAACTGGAAGTTGCCGAGGAGCTTGTTGTCACGGACAAGCTCACGCTCACCCTGGTAGACCTTGATCTCGACAGCGGTCTGGAAATCGGCAGCAGTGGAGAAGGTCTGGGACTTCTTGGTGGGGATGGTGGTGTTGCGGTTGATGAGACGGGTGAAGACACCGCCGAGGGTCTCAATACCGAGGGAGAGGGGAGTGACATCGAGGAGGAGAAGGTCCTTGACCTCACCGGACAGGACGGCACCCTGGATGGCGGCACCAATGGCAACAGCCTCATCAGGGTTGACAGACTTGGCGGGGTCACGGCCAAAGATGCTCTTGACGGATTCAGAGACCTTGGGCATGCGAGTCATACCACCAACAAGGATGACCTCCTGGATGTCCTTGGCCTGGAGGTTGGCGTCCTTCAGGGCCTTGCGGACGGGGTCAATGGTACGGGTGATGAGGGGGTCAACCATCTTCTCGAGCTGAGCGCGAGTAAGCTTCTGGTTGATGTGCTTGGGGCCGGAGGAGTCGGCAGTAATGAAGGGCAGGTTGATGTCGGTGGAGAGGGAAGAAGAAAGCTCGATCTTGGCCTTCTCGGCAGCCTCACGGATACGCTGGATGGCCATGCGGTCGCCAGACAGGTCAATGCCAGAGTCCTTCTTGAACTGCTGGACAAGGTGGCGGACAAGGTGGATATCGAAGTCCTCACCACCCAAGTGGGTGTCACCGTTGGTAGACTTGACCTCAAAGACACCGTTCTGGATCTCGAGGACGGAGATATCGAAGGTACCACCACCAAGATCGTAGACGGCGACGATACGGTCGTCCTCCTTCTCCAGACCGTAGGCCAGAGCGGCGGCAGTAGGCTCGTTGACGACACGGAGAACGTTGAGGCCGGCAATCTGGCCAGCATCCTTGGTAGCCTGACGCTGGGAGTCGTTGAAGTAGGCGGGGACGGTGACAACAGCGTTCTTGACGGGCTTGGAGAGGTAGGCCTCAGCAGTCTCCTTCATCTTGTTAAGGACGAAACCACCAATCTGCGAAGGAGAGTACTTCTGGTCGCGAGCAGACACCCAGGCATCACCGTTGGAGTGCTGGACAATCTTGTAGGGGACCTCCTTGATATCTCTCTGGACCTCAGCATCGGTGAACTTGCGGCCGATCAGACGCTTGGTGGCGAAGAGGGTGTTCTCGGGGTTGACGACAGCCTGGCGCTTGGCGGCGACACCGACAAGACGCTCACCGTCCTGGGCAAACGCGACCACGGAGGGGGTTGTGCGGGCACCTGATGATATAGTTAGTCTTTTGCTGATGCGGCGCGATGGTACTTCAATGGTATTGCTCACCCTCAGAGTTCTCGATAATCTTGGGGACCTTGCCCTCCATGATGGCAACGGCAGAGTTGGTGGTACCGAGATCGATACCGATCACGGAGCCGGTGACCTTTCCATCAGTCGCCGTTGACTCGTAGCGAGCAAACTTGGAGGCGAAAGGCTGACGGGCGAAGCCTGCGGAACGGGCGACTGAGCTGGTAGCTCTGGGGAGCTGTTACGCGTTAGCATGCAAACTTTGACGGAGTCGCGGAAGCTGTTGCGAAAAAACTTACAGCTCTGGAAAAGCGTGCAGACATCATCTTGCCTGACTGTGTGTGGGTATAACAAAAGGGGATGGAGGGAGAAAAGAGGATTGCACGCGGAAAGGAATGGAAAAGCGGTTATTATAGAGTACAGAGTGGATGGATTGGGGGGAGGGAGGAGGTGATTGAGGATACGAAAAAATGATGATGGCAAGGACAGGTCGAAATTTTTTGACCCGAAAAATGATGCGCGCCCCCGGTCATAGAAGCCGACCGAAGACCGCAGGCCGGGACGCCGGCGTTGGTTATTCCGACGGGTTAAGCTCCACCGGCTGAAATTCTCAGTGGAGGTGAAGGTCCCGCACGTGACGAATGAATGGCGGGAAAAAGCTGGAGGTGACGGGATCGCCCGGCCTGCGCAGGCAATGGACGTGGCGCTAGTGGACGAGTCAGCGGCCAGGGTCGGAGCTAGGACAGCTCGGCTGTAAATTTTTCGAGTCTCTTGAGCTCTTTGCCGTGGCGGCGCGCAAGTATTGACGCGTTGATGGTTTGCTGGGGCACTAGTGGCCGGGCTTGCTTCTATCTACGGCCATCTCCCCCCCTAGAACGTGGGGATGCTCGATGCGGACACCTCTCGCCTCCCGTCCACCACTGGGTGAATTCCCATAGCATTGGGAGGCTATTAATGTAACCGTTGCGCTCAAGTCGACACAGACTTCGGTCAAGGTTTGGCTATGGCTGGTTCCCATCCGAACCGCCACAAGCTGCGCGCAACATTGAGTGTAAATTCTGCGACGAAAGAGACATTCACAAAAGAAGCAGCACTCAGCAAACAGGCATCGCGGAACAAGGATCCACTCCGACAGGCCTCGACGGCAGCGCTTCCGGTGCCGGGAGTGGATCCCGACAGTGGGCCAGAGGTACTGAGGTCGTGTTACCAGTGAAGTAAGACTTCACGTCCGAATGAGACCTCTTTCCCGATATGTAAAGCAGTCCGGCTCTACAGGGACACCGCATGCTGTTTCAGACCAACTCATCGACGCATCAATGCCCTGCTACTTTGCAATAATACAATCGCTAGGTTGAAGAAGTTTAAGCAGCGAACACGCTAAGTGATCGCTTTGCTGCGCCAACGACTGCGAAAGAAGATACGGCAGTCATTGCTATTCATGACGATAAGGGGCTCTGCCGATAGGTTAGCGGCAGTGCCGACAACTAGGTTCACAAACCGATACGGAAGTATACTCATCCTCCAACCGTTGATGACCAGTGACTTTATGGCCTCAGCAATGCTCTAGCTTCAAGCAGGTCTCGCCGACTGTGAGGCCCGTCTTCAACGACACACACATCCTACTCGATATGATTGATACCGGCTAGCCACTATTTATTCCTTTCAATCTTTGCCGTCATGGGCGGTATTCGTTTCGACATAAACGCGACTAGCAAGGACTTTGTACCGAGCTCGTCGATATGGTCTTTCCGAATTCGCCGTTTATTCAACACAGACCGTTTGATTTCTTTGATCAGCAGAATTTTGAACGTCTGTCTTAGCCGTGCAATGAACTCCTCTCGTCGAGGAGAGCTTCTGGAAAGCCAACTGCACCTCCAAGTGTCAGTCAAACTGTCTGGAGCACCGCGACGACTCCAACCACAAGTTATCGATCGGGTTTACTGACCACATGAAGTTGTGTGCCATGTCAATACGACGACGTGAGAAAGCGGAAATGCTTTGTATATCACAAAAAAAACACAGAGTTCTAGCTGAGAACCTCTTGCCACCGGTTACAGAAAGTAATGGTCCAAGCTTGAGACATAACACTACACCTGCAATGTATATGCATTTCTCGTGAATTTCGGTTTGGCTCGTTCGTGACTTGAGGTTGGCAGGGGCAGTGCATTTTATCGCAGTCCGATACAACTTCAGTTTATCTTGTTTATCTTCTAGACTAGAACAGCTAGTCTGATGTCGCTGTCAGTACAGACACTGCGTGACACTAGGTAGGCTGGGCCGACAGATCACAAGGGGGCCCACAAGCGGACAAGGGTCAGTGGCGTTGGACGGGGATCGGGGTAGATGAGGCAACAACGGATATTTGCAGATGTGTTGATGGAACAGCGACGCCGACTTTAAGCCCGTCTTCAAGACCATCCTGAGAAGTAGCTCTCCGAATTCTTATTCAACAAAAGGGAACAGCAATACACTCTTTATCCGGCGTCTTCTGGGTAAACCCTCAGTAGACAGCGGGAATGGGCGTCGGTTTAGACCCCAGGCTAAATTCAGAGCAGCCCAAGCTCCCGACGCACCAGCCCGCGCAGCAGCTTCAGCAGGCGAGTACGTACTGCAGAGGTACCGCCACGCCTTAGAAATCTGCTAGGTAATTAGAGGGCATCTCAGCGCCGACCAACCAGGACCAAGGGGAAATCAGAACAGGCCCCTCCCGCCATACACGGACGTCATGCGGAAAGTTGCCTCTCGTCTCGCGCAACTCTCATAGCCCTCCAGACATCCAACGCTCGAAACCATCCCTCGACGTCTTTGGTCGCCAAGTTCTCACCGTTGCTTGTCGCCGCATTGCTCAACATACCCATTGCATTGAGTACACGACTGGCGCAGCCCGACCTCGCGTGCTTCGGCAGCTGTATGTTTGCTTCCTGACGCATTCTTTGGCCACTCCATAAGCCATCATGGCTGTGAAAGATGGCGTCTCGTATGTCCGACCAGGAACCGCCATCGTACGTTGCGCTTCTAACTTTTCGACCTTGCAGCTATTACCCGACGAACAACCTGATTTCGAAGAAGCCGCGAAGGCACTACCGCATCCCTGTTCGATCTCAGTGTGTCCTCCCATCGACAGCTCGTCAAGCGCGCTGGCATGCGATAAATGCTAACCTAGCCTCTCGTCAGACACTGGCAACTTCGATCGCTTATCAGCGCCGAGAAACAAAGTTTCGTCTACTTTCCCGGGGGCGCCGGCAGCAACCACGTCCAACGGCTCAACACAACCACCAAGGAATGCGAAACCGTCAGGTTCCTCTCCTTTTCGCCACGATGTCTGGTTGCCGAGAACGGTTGGGTGTGTTGTGGGGGAGAGACGGGCGAGTTCACAGCGATTCAGACGGACAGCACGGGCGATGATGACAACAACCTCGGTCTCCAACTCAATCTCGAACCCGACGCTCGATTGCCCCTCGGACTCGATTCCGATTCTACTCGACCGGAAGATAACGTCTTCTCCCTTCTCAGCCAATCGCGGCGGGTGAACATGAGTAGCAGGGCGAATAAAAGTGTTGTTGCCAGGAGCCAGAAGCTGGCGCGCGACCGCGTCAACTGTATAACGATGTGGTTCCCGCCAGCCGCTGGCCCGATGCATCACGGTGCTTATACCGAGCCCGCTGCCGTTCTGGCCAATAATGACAAGACGGTGGTCCTGGTTGGATTGCGCGACTTTGAAAGCCAGGAGAAGGTTGAACCGCTGGACGTTGTGACGTACCCAGACTACGTCAATCGCGCCATCATTTCGCCTGACGGCCGTCTTCTGATTGCAATCCTCGACGACCCCTTTTTGTACATTCACCACCGCGTTGAGGCAACCATCGACGAGAATGGTCCATTCAGAAACGATGACAAGACTGAATACCGTTGGGAGCTGTGCGGCAAAATCCTACTCAACAGCCAGCGCAGGGACGATGGATCCGACAGTAGAGGGAGTTTTGCGGCATGTTTCTCCAACACTGGAGCGTACTTGGCTGTGGGGACGCAGTACGGTACGATTTCGGTATTCGATGTCGAGAGCCTCACTGATCCTGACGTTGCCGATCCCTTGTTGACCTCCTTCACATCGTCACGTCCGATGGCTGGATCTGGAGCTGTCCGCGACATGTCTTTCTGTCCCGGCCCTTATGATCTCCTGGCTTGGACAGAAGACCGCGGCCATGTCGGTATTGCCGATCTAAGGAGTGGCTTCGTGCAGCGTCAAATCCTAGACATCAGTGTCGCTGAAGACTATGACCACATACCCATCCTCGATCGCGCCACGATCGATCCTCGGCTGCTTGAGGGCCGCGGTGAACCAAATGACACGCTCTCCTCCATCCTGCCAGACGCCGGCGAGATTCGTCGGCGGCGCGGTGACGGTCCGAGCGGCCGACACCACCTAGCCCTTACACCCGACGAGACACGAGTGCTCGAAGCTTTGCAGGAGGAGCGGATGAGGCGTGAACAGAGAGAACGGATCTCAGCACGAATGGCAGAGCAAGGGTCGCAGCAATCGCCGATGCAGTTCTTTGGAGGGATGCCCCCCTTGGGAGGGAGAGGTGCCCGTATTGACCCTGAAATACTGGCGCGGGCACGGAACGGCAGTGCCGCACGTCGAGAGCAGACTGCTTCGATGCGGACAAATCGCGAGCGTACGGCTGTCGAGCCCGGCGAGCCGAGCGACGACGCCAACCAGAACGTATCCAGGGCGATTGGCGACCTCCTCGGAAACATTCGCGACTCAAGGGAACGAGCGCAAGAACGCATACGGACTGCTCAGCGGCTCATTCTGCAATCCAACACCGACCGAGAGCGCATGCTGGACTTGGCGAATCCTCATCCACCCAGGCGTTCGGCAAGCATACGGCCAGGCGATACTTCGGCGGCGGCACAGCGCGGAACAAGCGGCCTGCGCAGCCTGACATCTTCCGGGAGCGGCTGGGCAGACCTCGAGGCGCTCTACAGCCTTTCGTTCGAGAGCAACATCCAGGACCTGAGGCAAGCCGTCAGAGACCGCGACAGGGACCGCGATCGCGCATCCATCCTGCCGCTGCTTAACTCCGTTGCGATCCGCGAGCTAGAGGAGCGCAATAGCCGCCGGCGTGTCGTGCTCGAGCATGGCGTTCACGAGGCTCCTCCCGAGCCTGACAACACGGCCGGGATCTCGTGGAGCGAGGATGGCAGAATACTGTGAGTGTTGTGCATCATATAATAGGCAATGTTCACTAACAATCCTAGGTACGTGGGAGCCGAAAACGGCATCTACGAATTCCACGTTGATGTTCAGGGCCGCAAGTTCCACCCCAGCTTGACGTTGCGGTAGAGATGTGCGATAGGTCAATTTTGTTTGCTGGCGTTGGCGGGCCAATGACGGACTGTGGCAGTGATTGTACAGCCGAATATGAAATAACTACTAGGACGGCGTCGTGGAACCTGAAAGGATTAGGATGGGACATGGATTTTGACCACACACACACACACGCATTCGTTGAAAAGAAAAAAGTCTGCAGCGTTGTATGAATCTGGCTTAAATTTTTTTTTTTGGATGGGCGGTCTTTTGACGCATCCCTTAGCGCATGTGTGTATAATACAATGTATCAGAGCATACGTCCTAAGGGTGGTTGGCCACCTCGAGCCGGACACCAGAATGCCCAAGCAAGCACCTTACCCGTAGAGTATCTCGTCGACCCGTTCCGCGATGGCCAGACAGCTCGTAAGGCCGGGGCTTTCGATGCCCAGCAGGTTGACCCATCCCTCGTAGCCGTCTTCCTTCCTGATGATGAAGTCGTGGAACCCTGTGCCGTGCCCCACGGCCCCGAACTTGCCCAGCTTCGGCCGGATGCCCGCGTAGTCCGGCTCCAGACAGCTCTCGTCGAGGCCCGGCAGGTATCTCTTGATGGCGTCAATGGCCGCCGGCAACCTGGCGCCGTTGACGGCCAGGTCGTCGGCCGAATCGACCCATTCCACGTCCGGGCCGAAGCGTACCCGCCCCGCGAGGTCCAGCGTCAGATGCGTCCCCAGCCCGCCGGCGCCGGGCTCCGGCGCCGGGTAGATGAGCCTGCCGACCTTGGGCGCCGAGCTCGCGTAGGAGAAGTAGTTGCCCTTGGCGTAGTACATGGCGCGCCGCTCCGCCGCGGGCACAATCATGTTGTGCACGTCGACGGCGCCCAGCCCCGCGGCGTTGACCAGCACCTCGGCCGTCACGGCGCTCTCCTCCCCCGTCGCGGGATCCCGCACGCGCACCTCCCACCCGGCGCTGCCTTTCTGCCCAAGCGGCGTCACCCCTGTCACGGCGGAGCTCAGCGCCACGACGCCCCCGGCATCCTCGAAGAGGCCCATCAGCCCGACCATCAGGCCGTGCGAGTCCACGATGCCCGTCGTGGGGCTCTCGAGCACACCGGCCTCGGCCCGGACGTCCGGCTCCAGCCTCTGCGCCTCCTCGGCCGCGACCCAGCGCACGGGGACGTGGATCTCGTTGTTGCAAAAGTCGTGCACGCGCTCGAGGGCCTCGCGCTGGGCGCTCGTCTGCGCGACGATCCACTTGCCCGTGTTGGCGTGCGCGACGCCGCGCTCGCGGCAAAAGGCGTAGAGCAGCTCCTTGCCGCGGATGCAGAGCGACGTCTTGAGGGTCCCCGCCCCGTAGTAGATGCCCGCGTGGATGACCTCGCTGTTGCGCGACGACGTCTCCGTGCCGACGGCGCCGTGGCGCTCGAGTAGGACCGTCGACGTCCCCGGGCGCTGGGCGAGGGCGCGCGCTGTTGCGAGGCCTACCGCGCCGCCTCCCACGACCTGTCGTGGGTTAGCATCGAGTGTCGAGCATGGGAGCGTTGTTGCGGGTGTTCAACTCACGACGTGGGTGAAGTCGGCTCGCGCAGAGGCCGTCGTCGAGAACTCCCGCCGGGCCCGTCGGAGTCCATTGATCGATCTCGGAGAAAACGACCTCAAGAACATGATGGCTGTCTGCAGCGGCTTGGCTGGCTCGAGGTGAGCTGTGAGAGAAGACGTTTATACATGTTCCCACTTGTCGATGACGCCACCGGGACGATGCAGGGGTCCCGGCATCGCATCGGCTGCTAGTCATGTACCCGAAAAGCGGTGGACCGCACATGGGATTCGAAGTAGCCAACTATTGATTGACGACTACATGGCAACAATTTGTTGGATCCGACGAGCCACGACATCGCCAGGCTTCAAAACAAGAGATCCTCGACTTTGAAGCTCTTCGAAAATAATGCTGATGGAACGGTTAATGAGTATCTCAAGCCATATGATAATAGTGGTCATCACCCAAAGTCGTTAAAACGTGATCTCATCGATTAAAACAGTATATATGTACGTAGGTATCAATGTGCGTCCAATCCTCGTCTTTTGGCTATTAGTCCACGCCGCCGTCGTCGTTCTTGCCGTCCGGCTTCGGGGACGTCTTGCGAGTTAAGCCTCCCCTGCCCACAATCTTCTCCGTCCAGTTCCAGCCCCCTAGCGGCGCTGTCGACCGGTTGCCGTCCTTATCCTTGTCCTTGAACTCCGTATCCTTGGGGCTCCTGGCGCTGGCTGTCGTGGCCGTTGTCTCGCTGTCGTCGCTGTCCGCCCAGTCCCGGTCGCTCCACGTGACGGAATCGACCCGCTCCGGCCGTGGCCGAGGCGATCTGGTGATCCGGGGCGGGCTGGCCGATGAGCTACGTGAGGACGAGCGACGTTTGGGTGGCGCCTGCATGTCTGGCACCACGTCTTCCGCCTCCCGTTGTGAGTTAGGCGACAGCAGACCTCCGGTGGGCCTATCGCTCGCGCCATCGTTGGATGGCACACCGCTATCCCTGACCTCGTCGCCGTACTTGTTCGGTGCCTGGCCAATGTCGAGCGCCAGCTCGCCAGACGACTCGTCTTCGTCACGGGTCCTTGCGGTCGCCGAATCGCTGAAGTGGGCGTCGACCAGGTGCTTCACAACAGGCCAGCCGTAGGCATTGGCGAACATCCGACGCACAATGATGTTGTTGTGCGCGTCGGGTTCCAGTTTGACAAGCACTTTTCGCCATGCTAGGCCACGGTGGTAAGCACGAGCAATCTTCTCTTCAACCCGCATCTGCGAACCATCAATCTCCTCATCGGGCCCCTTGTCGGGGTTCGTATTGGCCGTGTCGTCGTAGTCTCGCGTCGAGTCCATGGTGTTTTCATGCGAGAAACGTTGCGACGGATGAGGCGATGAGTCCGTGCTGGTCCTTGATCCGCCAGAACCCGTCGATGCAGCCCGCCTAAAAGTGCTTCTGCGAGACGCCAGCGAGCCGGTGGGCTTCTTCTTCAATGGCGGCGGCGGGATATCCGACGGATGGTAGACGCGATCGTGGAAAATGGCTCTGGGGCGCTTGGTGGGGTCGATGAGGTACTCGGTGGTAGGAATCTTGGGGTTGATCAGGTCGTGTGCGGACTCGAAGAAGCTCGTTCTCGGCGGCGCAATATGCTGGTCTCGCTCCAGCTCGTGGCCTGCAGTGACTTTGGAACCCGACGTTTGCGACATCTCGTCAAAGTTGATTGTCTGACTCCGCTTGTAGATTTTGTGCTGCTTGTTGGACATGCTGGGCGTTTTGGGTTGCGTTTTGGACTGCGCTTGCTCGTTGCCCTTGAAAAGGGAGAAGAAGCCGGCAAACGGTCCGTTGTTGGCACCGTCCTTTGCGCCCTCGGGTCCTGCTTCGTTGTACGGCGTAGGGACCGACCGGAGACTAGCCTGGTCGTCCTCCATCATTGCGTTCCGCGGCGGCTGCGGCACCTCAACAGCGTTGGACGGGGCTGTCGGCGTGATGTTGCCAGAGTGGTCATCCACAGGCTCCTCCTCATCCGGAGGGAGGGCGCTGGATCTCCGTGGCGTCGGTGCCAAGCTTCCGCCGGTCAGTTCCGCCCAGCCGGCGCCCACCAGTGTCTCGACCAAGCCGGCGTCTCGTCGTGCCTTCTCCACGCGGCCGAGACCCTGCCAATCGAGGAACAGAAGACAGCTGGTTCTCAGCGGGACGATGCCATCGTTGACCACGTTGGAGTAGACCGTGCGGTTGCGGAACTTCTTGAGCGCCGTATGGGCCGGGCCAGTCGGCAGAATCCGCAGCAGAGGCTTCGACTCGGGTTGGACCTCGCCCATGACCCTCTTGTGTGCACTTTCGCCAAGATTGCTGACGATGGCGCCCCAGCCGCTCCTCGCGATGGTGGGCGCCCGCCACGTAAGACCAAGATCCTGGCCCGTTCTGCCGACCAGGCCAAAGTCCAAGGCAAACTTGACATACAAGGGGTTTTCGTTGCTGAGGCCGAGGAACGGTGTGGCAAGGGCGACAAAGTTGATTGGTTTGATTAGGGTAAAGAATTCTGGTGAGTGCTTCTGGATATATGCAACGGCGTATGTCTGTATCAGTCCACCCAGAGAGTGGCCGATGAAACTGATGCTGGTGATCTTGAAAGGACGCTTCTCTTTGGCTTCTTCTTTATGGATCGTGCTGTGTTTGTGAGCCGCCTTACTGTCTGGTTCAGTTTTGTTGAAGACTGCAGCGACTGCCGTCTCCGTGTGGCCCTTCTTTGACGGCAGAAACGGCTGATCGGGGTACGACATGGAGAGGATGTACCTAGCCAGCCTCTTACCCAGGTATTTGATACCTCTTTCTGTCCTTGTCGCGTTGCCCGAGAAGCCGCGCACAATGACCTCTTCGTCGTCCCCATCGTCTTCTGCAGGGCTGTCGTCTTGAGTCTTGTCTTTATCATCTTCTGTGGCATCTCCGTCTTTCTTGGCTTCCTTCTCAGCGCGCTCCTTGGCACGCCTGGCCTTGGCATCAATCTTGGCCTGCGCGACTGTCTGATCAATGCTCTCCTTTAAATACAGCATGTCCGCTCCCAGGTTGCTGTGCAGGCCGTGGGTAAGGACAACCAAGTGCACCTTCTTTTGTTTAATTTCAAGCTTCTCCTCCTGCGGTATCTCTTGGGTGACGCTCTCAACAGGCTGGTCCTTCTTGTTACGGCTCTTGAGCCGGTCGATGTTGAGGTCGTCCCATCCCGGAAGCCTCGGGGTGTTCCACAGAGCGGCCGTGTCCTCCACCTTGAGGTGTATGGCTTTGGAGAACACGCCCTTCAGCTGCGCCGGGTGGTGGCCGTCCTTGGCACCCACGCTCTGCTGGTGGTCGGCGACCCTGCCGGGCTGTGGTACTTGGGTCTGGCCGCCGATGACGGGCAGCGAGGAACTCAGGTTCAGCGACTTTGCGTCCCTAGCGAGCGTCACCTCGTACCCGACCGCGGCCGAAGTCGAGAAGATGACCTGCGACGACACCTCGACGATCCACGATGCGCACTCGGTCTCTTGGTCTCCTGGGGCCGCACCGCCAAAGTGGCCGCCGCCTCCGGTTCCCGCGCTCTGTCGTATGTGCTCCGGCACCACCAGCTCGCACTCCCACGAGCCACCAGCCTTGAGCATGGGCTCGAACTCGGGAACGCCATAGCGGCGGGGGTTCGCAAACTTGACGTTGGGGTTGAAGTTGGACGGGTAGGCAGCGGCGCCCAGCGTGTAGGGGCCATGAACAAACGCGGCGCGCAGGGCGATGGCGGAGGTGTTACGGACGCGCAGGTAGAGGCGCTCGGGTGAGGGCAGGATTCGGTCCTGGGAGGGCGTATAGGTGACGGTATAGCGGACGACCTCTCCGATCTTGACGCTCCCGACCTGGTAGACGAGGAGCATTGTGATGTCGTATACGCTGCACCGGGGAGAAGGGAGGCAGGTAAGGTATGTAGGTGTGCTATTGTCGGCCCGTTGGTGACGCCGTCATTTCCGGGCGGCCGCTTCTCGAGGAGTCCGGCGGGAAGCTATGCGGAGTGAAGTTCGTACGGTTGGAGCAGATGCTGGCTAACAATGGGGGGGGTTTATCGGGTCGCGGCTTGGATATCGCATTCGCAAGCAAAATAGGGAGGAAATATGAGAGGGCACGCGAGGTGTTTCCGGGGTTGGGAAGGTGGTCTAGAGGTGCGAGGTGGTAGTAGATGGGAGAGGAGGAAGACGGCGGGAACACAGGTCCGTAGAAAGTATCGGTAGCTATCCGACAACGCAGCAGGCTGAGGCGTGCAGGTTCTAGGTTGATGTACACCAGGTCACAGCAACAAGCATGCAGTGGGCAGAAGCAGACGTAGGAACAGAAAGCCGACCCGGCGAAAGCATCAGCATTAGGGAGAGAGGCAACATACGCAGATGCAGCGATAGCCCGAGAGCGAAGGAGAGCACGAGGGACCCGAGAGACCGGGGTGTGGCCGCTAAAGAGCATACAGATGCACAGACAACGTCATTGGGCGAAGCATCCGGCCGCCATGGGAGCATTCAAGCACTGGACGAGCAGCAGTGAGTGAAAGGAATGCCAAATGGCTCACCCCACCACCTGTCCATTTTTCTTTTCGCTTTCTCCATTTCCCATTCGATCCGGCGTGGGACTCGCTCTGCTAAGCTCAAAGCCCGCACCCCCCAACCTTTTTGCTTGGCTCGCGCAATGCCCAGTGTAAATGGATTATGGACCTCGAGCTAGAGCTCCCTGCCTCGCCAACAGATTAAGCTCTTTGAGAAATCTATGAGGAAAACACAGCAGAATACGGGAAATCTTCTCGTCCCATTGCAAGGTCCCTCCTCGCAACCCCTGGCGGCCCTGCTCAATCCAGGCCTCCTTGGACCCGACCCAAGAGTTCAATCCGAGAGAATTCCCCATACCGGACGACGAGCAGGAATAAAACTCTCACTCTATTTCTAACTAAGCCCATTCTCAAACCACGGGCAGCAGAAAGTGAGAATGCCATGCCCAAAACCCAGACTTGGCTCAGAAAAGGGGGGGGGGGGGGGGGGGGGAGAGGCCCATGTGTGTGTGTGTGTGTGTCAACCCGACAGACCAGCATTCTCCGGCCTTGCACTTCGTCGCCAGAGCAAGTAAAAAACCGTCAGAAGTCGTCGGCCAAAGCTGTTGCAGGCATCGCCAGTCTTGGCAGGGGACCACACGTCCCCGATCGATGGACAACCATCGAGATGCTCATTGGTGGGGCGCATCATGTGCAACGATGCGGCCCTTAACCTTTCGTACACCAACCGGTGCGATACGGACTCTCGCTCTGTACCCGGCGATAGTTTGCGTTCGAGTACGTGCGTCCATGTGTGTGAGCGCGACGCATTCGCCATCCCGCCCGTTGCTTGGGTGAGGTGCAATGCGGCGTCGTCGCATACAAGAGCCTGGCCGGCACCATCCCTGGGGATGCGAGATGGCCCATCAATGCAAACGACACGCCAGGAACTGCACCACGTCGCCATGGCCCCAACGGAGCCGGGCAGGGAGACGTCCGCTGCGAGTCAGCCAGCCTCATCCTCCTGCCATTTTCGACCGCTCCTTCAACCAGCTTTGCTAGATATCCTCTCATCCAGCTACAACGACTAACCCTGTCGACTCCGGACCCAGGTCCGTAAGCCTCGACGCCCAAAGACCGCCCAACTCTCTCTTCCCCCCACTGACAACAGCAGCCGCATCTTCGTTCTCTCTCGTCAGGCCACTACGGTGCGCTACTGGATGTCAACACGGATCTGGCCAGCAGAACTGCCGGGCCAAAGTATATCTGCATCACAACAGGACGTGCCTAGCAAGCGGAGCCCTCCGAGATGGGCATCCTCCACGCCCTTGGTTGGTCCACGATATTGGACGACATGGCACATGGGACCCGATCCGTGCCACCCAGGGCGAACCAGCCGAGGTCGAAACTTCACATGAGAAACGGCAGGCTGGCAGGCGAGGGAAGGCAAGCACAAAAAAAAAAACCAAATGAACCTGCTGCAATCGTTACTAAACTGCCTACTCCCCGAAAACCTTAGACCATGTCCGCCCCGAGGATATATCACGCGCCTAGTGTTACAAGCATAACCCCATGAAATAGCAAGCAGCCTTCCCAAAACGTGCAACATGGACCAAAACGGCAATGGCAAATCATCACATCGTGCTGTGTCCTGGGCCCTATTCTGTCGTCGTCGTCAAGTACTTCGTTGTCTGTCGTATCAGGCCATGGCCGTCGGTTCCCCCTCGGGCATGCCTGGCCGCACATGGTTTCGCCATTCGTGCACACGGTTCATGCCGCGGCCCACCCCCGTGAGCCCGGCGAGCGTCGACGACTTGGGCTCTTCTCGCATTCGTCTCCGGCTCCGCGGCGCATGCACCGCTGCCTCCATCTCGTAATCGTGTACTGTCCGCCCCGGTACCACCCGCTCGGATGGCCGCGTGGTCCTGTTGTACATCTCCTCCTCTATCGTGTGCCTCCTCAGTAACGGAATTGGCGGAGGGGGGCCCATCATCATTGGCGCCGCCATGGAGAGAGGTCCCATTGGGGGAGCAGCCAGTGGCCCGAGGGGTGGCACCGGTGGCGGTGGCATCATCCCCGGCCGGGGGCCACTCGGGCTCGAACGGAACTCTGAAAAGCGCTCGGCGAGGCGCTGCCCCAAGGGGTCGGGGGGGACGCCTCTCGCCCTATTGACCCCCGACATGTAGTCCGTCGGCGCCGGGCGTTCAAAAGCCGCCGGTGGCGTTGGCGCCGGCGGCACGGGTGCGGATGCAAATGCCTCGGGCTCTCTGCGATAGTCGTCATTCATGAAATGGCCCGCCGTGTTGCCGACACCGACAATATCCCCGTACCCTCTGTCGTAAACGTCATCGTCCACCTCGTAACTCTGCAGCGCCCGCGCAAGGCCTTCGTCGCGGTTCTCCTGGAATCGCCGCATCAGTCTGCTGTCGTACTCTTGCGACCGAGACCGCAGCGGCGGTGCACTGGAGGCAGCAGTTGACCGCATACTCCTCGAGCTCTCGGTCAGGTCCAGCCGCTCCATGCGTTCGATCGCAGCTGGCATCTGCATGTCACGCAGTTGGTCCACGTCCGCTGTATCATAGTTGAACCAGGGACAATCGCAGCTCTTCCACTTTGTGCCGCATACCATGCAGAACTGTGCTCCGCAGAGGCTGCGCTAATCAGCAAGATCCAGAAATCGAGAAGCAAGCATGGTCCTTACCATGTCATGTGGTTGCAGCCTTCCTTGAGCTCAACCATGTGATTGCACTTGTAGCATCGCTTCCAGCCCTCGTCCTTGGCCTGGTCCAGGAATCTTGTCGTCTCCTCGTCGTTTGGGCATTCCCTCGACGAGTGCCACCGGCCGTTACACGAGCAGCACACTTTGGTCCGGCACTGGCCACACTTGCCGTATTTGCGACCTCCTTCTTTGCGGATGTAACTTGGCTTGATCCAGGCGCCACATTTTCTCGAGGGACAGTAGATGCGGTTTCGCGCCGAGTACTCTTGGAACTTTCGATTCCACTTCTTCTTGAACTCGGCCGAGAACAGGTGGTCGACATGTTTTAGGGCAATGTTCTCGGAGCAGCACTTGGGAGGCATTTCCTGCGGGTCAGTGATGGAGATCTTGAAGTGCCTCTTCAGACATCCGCTACACATCCGATGTCCGCACTTGAGCTTTGCAATCTTGCTCGACGGGAAATCGTCCATGCACACAACGCACTCAACCCTGTTAAGAAGCGTCAGCATCCACTGTATTTTCTCGTCTTGTTCGGCCTACCTGGCCGTCTTCTCGGACGAGTAGGAGACGGAGCTCCCCGTGAGCAGGTTGCCCAAGAAGCTAGATGAACGCCTGTTGGACGAGGCCGTGCTGTGCGTGTGCGACGTGACATGCGATGCCCCCGAGACCGTGTTGGAGCGGCGGATCGTGCGGGTCTCTGGGTACATGGTCTGGGACGGGTGTCTCCTTGGGTTTCTGCTCAGGATCAAGTCAGATTCGCCCCGAGCCGGGTGAATCTCATACACCAACCTCTTGGAGGAGCTGGGCGGCTTAGAGATTTCGTACGTCTTGGGCGACGGGCGATGGTGGTTTGATCTCCGGCCCGGGCTGTGGGAACGCTGTCTCGAGTAGTGCCGATCTGATGCCGGCCGCGAGATGTGAGAACGGTGCCGAGAGGGCGAGCGGCTGTACTCGTCCATAGACTGCCGTGGCGTGGGTTCCGTAGAGCCGTCCTCCTCCATGTAGATGATCTTCTTGATCTTCCTGCGGCGCTTCGGCGTCTTGTCGTCCGCCGGCGGCCGTCGCCGCTCGACGACCGTCTGACGTGCCGGTTTCTCGCATCTCTCCCTCTCCCGCCTGTCCCTGCCCCGACGTCGTTCCCGCTTCTCCTCTTGCGTGGAGACGCTGGTCTCGGATTCCTCGTCCGACTCCGTCTCGGAGGCGGACTCCGAATACCGCGAAGACCGCCTCGACTCGTAGACACGGCGTGTCCTCGATTGGTGGTTTGACCTCGGACTGCGACCACGCGCGGAACTTTCCCTCTCCCCCTCTCTCTCCCTTCCGCCGGAGGGCGGTTCCTCGTCGTAAGAATCGTAACCATTGTCGACGGGCACCCTTCCCCTCCTGTACGGAGCTGCCTTGGGGGTCCTAGGCATGGTGGGTGCAAGGGTGGCAGACACGCCGCTGGTGGTGTTTACGGAGCGGCTTCGTCCCATGGACGAAGTCCTCTCGTCGGGCCCTTGTATAAGGTCTCTGGGCCTCCGGTACGGCATCGAGTCGAAGGCGGTCTCCCCAGCGGGTTGCCAATCATAGTGTGCGATGGGCGGCGGACTGAGAGGGTGCCGCCGCCGGCTCGTTCTCCTGTGCAACTCTGCGCCATCTCGATAGGCCATTGGGCTGCGGTCAGCCTCATGCGGGAGGTGAGAGAAGTTTGAGATGGGTTCGGGAGCGGGAATCGTTGAATCGAGGGTCGAGAAGGGGGTGCACCCGGACAGCTGGTTGCTCGTGAGTGGGTGGCTTCAATGCATGCCGCGGAGCTATGATTGGACTTGGATGACGGGTTGCATATCGGCCATGCACATGCAGGCGTGCAAAGGTGATGAATGTGCGCCCTGGAAAAGCAGACGACGGCGACGGTTTGCCTTGCCCTGTGGTGAGGTATCAATCGGGCAGCAGTGGAAGCTGTCTGGTCGGACGGGGCGAGCTTGTGGAGAGGACGAAGCCTGGAGGGAGGCGGCCGAGGAAGTGTAGATGCCTCGTTGGATCACGACGTCGCAGGATCAGGCTGTGGGGAAGGAAGAGGGGCTGGACATGCTGTTGGTGAAATGGTGAATGGCAGCCTGGAACAAGCCTTGCACAATGGAATGTCCATTCAGGCAAGGGGGAGAGAGAGAGAGAGGGAGCAAAGACATTCGTCCAACCTGAAATCCATGGCAAGTCGAGCCCGCCCGCTTGTGACAAGCAGGGAGTCATTGCCCGACGGGAGCTGCCTACTGCCACCGACACTAACAGGGCGCCACCGACGGGCAATCGATTGGCCCCTATTGTGCTGCGGCGGGGTGAACTTGTCTCTGACGAGAGGCGCCCTTGAATCCTACCTTCACCCGTAGGCTCGTCGTCTTGTGGCCCATGCCCTGCTGCGGCCCCATTTCCCGTGATTTGAACACAACCAAGACTCTCTCCCGTATCGAATCAGCACATCGCAGCCCTCGCCGGGCTGTTTGACCTTGGTTCCAACCCCCTAGTTTTTGCACCGCACGCACACAAAATACCAACGTCCAAGAGACACGGACGACGCAGACAGTCGTCTTACAGTCGTCCGAGCTAGCGGCCAGTCCGATCTGCACCCACCAGCAGCGGCATGCCTCTCTGACAGCAAACCTTGAGGCGAAGAGGAGGGTGGGAGGCGCGGGAAGCTAGCGCTCGCCGAGCCCTGTCCTGTGTGCCTACATAGTCCCTAGTGTGCTGCAGGGAACTGCCCACTACCGTCAAGCGAGGGAACCGCCGGAAGCTGGAACTGCCTGCGCACGTGCATCAGCCCTCTGCATTCCTCAGCCATGATCCTAACCGGTGACCACGGCCTTGGGCAGACACGGACACTGTGATTTGGCCGACGGTCTCATGTTGGGGGAGGGGGCGACGATGCAGAAGCTTCCGTTACGCGGATCAACTCGAGGGTCTACCCTAAACGCAAATCCGCCTGTCCACCGACAAAATCCCATGTGCAGATTTTAGCGATGTCGGTCCACTTCGGCCGGCACTAAAGTAGATCGGGTCAACGGCCTGCCGACGCCTACGGCGCTTCGGGGCTCGATTGGCTCAGGTGGGGCCGATCCGGCAGTCGGTGCCCGAGTCAGCTCTCGTGTCTCTCGGCAGACCGCCTCGTCACGCATCGAGAATAGTGTTCTCTTTTTTTTTTTCTCTTTTTCCGGAAACCATTGGCTAATTGCCTGAGCCCGAGCCTTGTGAGAGCCACTCACACGCAGCACACGATTGTCGTATCGCAGCTCTGGTCTCGTGGAAGCGGCACTCTCAGCTCGGCGTCAGTGGCTTTGCGCACACTAGCACGTGCTGCCAGTCCGCAAGCTTCCTCCCTCCTTTCCGACATCGCCGCCATCATCACCGATTCTTGCAGGAAATGTGGAAGTCTCACTAGCGCCGAGTAGAAGAAAAACTCTCGCAGGCCTCGCGACATCGCCCTCGCCGGCGAAGACGTCCAACATTCACCACGCCTTTGGCACGCCCCTCCAGCTCGGACCCGCGTCGGCTTCAGCCTGTGTATTGTCCACGAGCTTGGTATATCCACTCGGCAAACAGTCCTCGCATCTATCTCCGTTCTGGATCGGCCCAGAACCAAGCTCCTTTCATTGGTGGATCTTCCGCTTTCCACTCTCCATAACTTGGCCTCTCCCCGAATCCCCGGTCTCCACCTCGAATACCGGTAGTCAAAAACGGACTCTTGCGCCCGGCGTTATGGAGTCGTCTACCAACTCAATGACCGCTCATAGACAGGCATGCTGACGAGACAGCGGTTGGGGGTTGGTTACGGGCAGTATCGCCCCCCAGGCTCATATTGAGAACAGACACTTCTTTCTCATGAAACGGTAGTACAGGCACGGCATAACGACACCGGCGTCAATGGAAACAGCAGGTCGACCGACTTTCAGACCTATAAGATGCAGAGAGTTCGATGTGCAGTCACTGTTCTGACTAGTAGCGTGGTCGAAACAAACATCATCACGAATGCATGACCCGGAGCTGCGGGTGCCTTATAGTCAACCGTACAGACAGAAGTCGTAGAGACCGTCATGTTTGGTTTTGATTTTTTTTTCGTCTCCCTTCATCGATGAAGACGTTGTGCGAAGACGTTGTGCCCCCTCTCCGCAACGCCACGAGGTCAGTTGAACACAGCGTCGCAGGGAGGATCTGGCGCAGCATGGAGATGACGCCGCGTGACCGTCCTGTATGTGAGCCCCTTTCGCGTATGCAACTCATATTAAGGTCTCGAGGTACCCCGCATACATGTCGTTGGGGTACACAGGACGAATAGCAAGGCTGCGCCTGGCCCAGGCCAAATCACGTCCGCGTCCTGACCTCCTGAAATGGGGGCGATGCCGTGACTTGGAGGTTGGTTTTGTTCTCTCCAACCTGACGCAGGCCATAGGGGTACGTTGGATGCTCGAAACCGCGGTTGCGTCGTTTACAGGTACATGAATGGGTATTTCATCGGCAATGCTATGTTGTACAATACTATATCACCAAACATCGGCTGACCTTACAGTGAGATCCCCGGGCCAAGAATGTGTACCGTCATACCTAAAGCCAGGCGGCAAGCCAACTGGCTTTGAGAATCCAATATCACTCATGCTCATCATTCATCACCCTTTAAAGAACGCCTGCAGCAGGAATTCGCCTGACCCCAGTTTCACAACACAGTTGCTGAAGATTTTTTTCGCCACTTGAACCGCTCCTTGTTTGTGAAAAGTGACAGCCTGCCGCCGTCCTCTTTCACTCTCGGGAGATGGCGGGTGTCGTCTCGAAGCGGGTTGGCGCCAGATAGATCCATTGGCCGGGTGGGCGGGCGCCGGGGTTTCGGTCCGAACACCCAGTGAGACCAAGTATTACCCGCCAACCAGGCTTCCCCAACTCGCAGATAATGCCCAACCTCCAGATGGCGCAACCCCGGATTACCCCAGATGTTTCTGCCACTCGCTGTCCTGCACGAGTGTTGTTGCTGTTGCGACCATACGCCTGCTTCCCCGGGACCAGAGCGCCCAGCCCCGCATGGGCGAGCGGGAGGCCAACGATCTTTGGAGGTCGTCGATAACCTTGGTCTCCCTTTGTGCTATTCAGGGTGTGTCTCGTACTTGAAGCAGGGTTTGTTGGTAGAGCGTCGGAGCCAGATCGGCAACCTCCAAGACCACTGTCAGCAACCGGGACCAAGGGCTTCCGTCGGGCCCGCAAGTCGTATTCTCAAGATGGTAGTCTGGCTGGCTCCAGAGCACTAGGTGCTGGTCTTGTGGGCGGCGGGTCGTGACGGCTTTCATCCGCTTAGGTATGCCCTCCTTCTCACTTCGGCTTCTTTGATAATTTCTGCTGCTAGGCTCAGACTGGGGGCCAGGGTCGAATATCGCTCAATCTCCATCACCACGTCATTGATGATCTGGTCGATGGTTTCCCGGTGAGGTACAAGCGTGAGGAGGATACTACTTAGAGAGGGTGACATGGTCGCACCCATAACCAGTAGCGTCTGCGACACTATGGAAAGGGCCCCTTGCCACAGATAGGGCATGTGTCCGGCGTGACTGCGGCGCATTAGCAGGCGGCAAAAATATCCTGACACTGAGACTTACTGTTGGGATATGTGCTCTAATTGCCGGATGGAGGCTTCCAGGCATTTGTGGCAACTGTCGCGCACCGCGGGGTCCAGGACTGCTTGCTCGTTGTCCAATACGGCCAAGATGTACGGGCGGTAGATGATTGTCCGGCAAGCAAAGAACCGCAAGCGCAACACCGTCTGCACCGGATCGGCGAGTAGAGTACGGGTGAAGGGGAACTGCAGCGGCATCGGCAGACTCTCGTACCATTGAGTCAGCTGAAAGTCGAGTTCCGCCACCACAGGCTCCAGGCTGGTAGTGGAAGCCATTGAGTCTTTCGAGTAGATCAGCTGGCTCACCCTGTTGAGGAGCCGCCGCAGTGCGATCTCTGCCAAGAAATACCAGAGGTCGTCACGGCCAATTGCTTCCTGTTCCTCGCCCTCGAAACCGCCGGGCAGGCCGACGTTCTCTTCAAACTGGACGACGCCCGAGTGTGGCAAATCCAGCTCGGCCAGCAGGTCGCTCTCGAACAGCAGTGAGTTCCAGTAGATGCGTTCAGTCAGTTCCCGTTGGTTTGGCGGGACCCTGTTGGGTGACATGAGCAAGAGCTGTAACTTCGTGCTCGTAGTGCAGAGGAGGTTCCAGGCCTCGAGCGGTCGCACGAGATAGAACAGGTAAGCCGAGGCCAGCAGATGACACTGGGCCGCTAGGACGTTGTTGGATGTCATCATGCCTGGCAAAAGCGCCCAGGCGGCGGTGAAATACTGCAAGCCGGGGGCATCCTCTCCGGGTACGATCCTCGAGATGCTGCCTCTCAAACTTGCTTGGCCCAGAGCCAG